TGTCACTTGACAACAGAGCTTTGACTTTTCAAGTGGGCGTGGCTGACCTTAAACTTAGAAGTATTAGAATATTGTTTCACACGGGTAGAAATTCTTGGAAGTTTTCCCCCAGCTAATAAGAGACAGTTAGAACTGTACTTTAACCGCCTATACCAACAGTCTGTATTAGGTGCTCATAGTTTATTGTCTAAGACTTTTTAAACTTGAGAATTTTAACTATGTGACAGCAAAAACTGCAGTTTTAATTGCTGTTTCAGTTTTTTATTTTAAAATAAAGGAATAAATCTTAGATAATATACAACTTTAAATTATAACGTATTTGATAATAGTAATTTCATTAATATATGTTTATAGTAAAGTGGTTTGATTCAATTTTGAATTTAACTCAGTAAAATCTCATGACATGCACAGATAGGGGTTTAAAGGGTCATTGCAATCAAAGGGTTAACAACATAAAGAATTCAGGCAGAAAACGTAGACAACCACTGGCCACCTTGTTAGACTTACCAAAACTATTTATCTCAGTTTTAACAGAAAGCATACAACCATAGCTACTTTTCTAGATATCCAAAAAAGCCTTTGATTCTGAATGGCACAACAGACTTTGCTATAGACTAACAGATAGTCATGTACCCATCCTTATTGTACACTGGATATCCAGTTTTCTTACTGACTCAAAAGCTCAAGTTAAGATCTACAATGTGACTTCGAGGCCCTTCATGGTTGAAGCTGATGTCCCCCAAGGGTCAGTGTTAAGCACAAATTATACAATCTCATTGTCAATGATATCCTAATCCCTTCCTTAAACCATACACTTGTATTTCATTATGCGACATTTAAGGTCCAAATATCACTCAATACATTATCAGTTTGGTACAAGAAGTGACATGTAGCCCTCAACCCATCCAAATCCCAAGCTTTATAGCCTTTTTTTAGGAAAAGAAATAAAAAAGTGAAAAAGCTTTGTATTCTCCAGTTAACCCTTAATAATTCAGGCACTGATGAAGTAGAATATTTGATGCCTGATCAGTGAAAGCTAGTTTTCTCGGGGTTTTCCCATTTTCCCCCACAGCAAAATTATTTTCATTGGATCTTAAGATCCCCACCCAGTGAAGGACCTCTACACTTCATATTCTATATTCAAAATTTAAATTACCTTTTTTATGTATTAATTCAACCAAAGCTATTTAATTTTTTGCCATCAATTTTAATAAATCAAAGCCTATTTAAATGTTACTGTCTTTGCTAGTTTTAGATGTATTTGTTCCCTATCAAGAATTAATTAATCAATCGCTTCAGACTCTAATTATTACTCTTATTTATACAACTCATGTCAACTTTGAACTAGGTATCCTTAGTACAGTTTTGGTTCCATCAATCTGCACACCAGCAGCCTGCTTTGTCAATGTCAACAGCCACCTTTTATATTCAATCCTTCATATTAAGTGAGCAGCCTTCTTCAGTTTCAACCTCTCTTTCTTTCAACAAACTTCCTGTTTCCAGCTCCCCACTGCTTCAGTTTGTCCCTGATTTTTATTATGAGGTGTCAACTCTCCTTGTATACCTTATTCACCAACCATGCTTATGAATTAGTCTCTCATGCTTCAGCAACATTAAGGTCCACATTATTTCATCAAAGCACTCAAAAATCTTAAAGCTTAATTTCTTTGGAACCTTGTTAGTTGTTGAACCAATGTTTTTATGAGCAGGGTGAATAGAAAATTACAGTTTCTGACCACCCCTTGTTACCCCTTTCTAGACCTGAAAGTTTTCAAACCAAAATACGTACCAAGGAATTTTTCATGTACCACTGCGTGTTAGGCATGATAGGCTATACATGCTGTATACATTGTACGTCAGCACAGCTAGTACACGTCTTCGGTCTAACCATTCATTACACAGGCATTCATAGTGACAACGTTTGTGAATTGTACATGACTGACAAATGTTTGTAAATTTGGAAAAGGTCCATTCATGGTTTGTCAAAAGTTCTGCTTGGTTAAGAAATGCTTAGATCAGTTTATGTGGGGTCAAACATGTAATGGCTCATTTGATTTTAAAGGATCACACAGGCTTCCTAGCAGACACTTTTTAGGGGCCCTTCAGCATTTTGATGGCCCATTGGCTCCTGGACGCCTGCTAATCTTGAGCCCTACCACCAAAATTAAAATTATGAAGCTGTTATTACCCACCTCTTCATCCCTAAAGAACAGTTTTTTCTCTCAGTTGCCACAGAAATTGAATCTCTTCTCACATAATTCTAGGATGATAAACTGATGTTGTTTTTATGGCTGCAGATTTCTTTGGTCTTGTCAGGGGATTCTCAGGCAGTACAAAGGGTTTCTCGTGACATCCCTGCAATTGCCTGATTCACAAGTTTGTATACTTCAGAGGTAGGAGAACAGATTGGATACTCTATATTTTCATCTTCTTTCAGACAAGAAACAATTGCAGATGCTTTGGAGAGTTTGCAAAACTCACCTTTCCCTGTCTCATGGTGAGGCCAGTGTTGAAATGTTTTTTTTCTGTAAATAAAGAATATGTTACAGAAAACCGACATAGACAATGCTAAGATAGTCATAATTGACCACATTAGACAAGCTGGGAATGTCCTGAATGTAAACATAATTACGGAAATGCTTACCTTTGTTGAAAGTGCAAGACAAAGGTATATAATGTACTTAGAAGAGAAGTCCAAAAAGCAGAAGCCACATAAAGATTGCAAGAGAAAGGTTGAAGAAAGTGAATTGGAACTGGAAGATCTCAAACATAAGAAGACCAGACATTAGTCTGAAATTAAGCAACTTCTTTCAATAGCTGATGAAAACTTTGAGAAAGCTGAAAAGTAAAGAAATTTTAAACCTTCCCACAGTGGCCATTTTCCAGAAGAAAGCTGAAAAGAAAAGAAACTTTAAATCTTTCCACAGTGGCCATTTTCCAGAGGAAAGTTGTAAAAGAGAAGGAAGAAATATAAATAAATAAATATAAATTATCAAACAAGAAAATCTGAAACACTTTAATTATGTTTTAATTTTTTTATTTTAATACAGTTCAATTACATTTGAACACTGCAAAATCAGTAATAAAAATATTACTTCCTTTTCTCAATTATTTACCAATATTTATGTAATATTTCCATTTGAAAACATACATCTAGTGCAGTTTCTTGTGTAACCCACAAAAAATGGTCCTTGAATTTCTAAAAATTGATCATGGAAAAGTCATGAAATGTCATTTCTGTATAGGTGCAGGAACCTCCATCATGACCTTTGGCATCATGACTTTTTTTTTATGTTTTTGTCCAATTCTAGATTTTTCTACTTGTTTTATATATCTGACTTAAGTACTTTTGCATGGAATATCTATTTGACTTGTCAATATAACATCTCGGTGTTAAACATAAAATAAATATTGTCTTATTCTATGGTGAAAATTAGTCTATATTTTGCAGTTTTACCATTGTATAACTAGTTTATCATTTCAGTTTAAAAATGGAAGCACAGTTTTAGTTATAAGCTCTCAGTCTGCAACCTTGCTACATTTGTTTAACACTGCTTTATGGTATGTTCAAGTGAGAAATGAAATTATGTATGTAAGCATTCAAATAAAGGTTTAATTTTAATTGTATGTTGTAATTTACTGAATATGTAATAGTGGTTGTACAGTTTATTACCAAAGCTTCTTTACAAAAATGTTTTTTTAACCACTAAAACTTGGCTATAGGTAGTGGTATATTAGTACTTACATTTTTTTCTGTAATGCAATAACATCCTGAATGTTTTCATTATTATTGTTTTCACCTTTGAACTACCATTCAATAACTTTATGAGAAAGATACAATTGTAAACTATTTTTTATTTAATGTGATGCATTGAGTAGTTGAATTTTTATGTTCAGTTTATTTTGGGGCCATACATGTTTCATTAAAAAACATAATTCTTTGAGAAAGATATAACTAGCAACTGTTTTTCTAGTAAAACAGAAAGTTCTTAAATCATTTGTATATTTAAAAAAGTATAGTATAAAGAGCGGGTGTCATTTACCGATTGTAACATTTTTTATGTAATGTGATGCGTGTTCTGTCGAGTGGTGTAATTTTTACATCCAGGTGCTTTTGGGGCTGTATATGTTTCATTTAAAAAAACACATTATTTAGTAAAACCAGAATATTTCATTAAACTGTTTTTCCACAAGCTGTGACTGAATTCACAACAAAATTATTAGTTACCACTTTAAGTGGTTGCTATTATAATAGATGTAGTTAGATACTTGAACATGAAAATCATTCTTAAGTTAAAAACTATTTACTTTTTTGTTCTTTATCATCAGATGTTTGAAGTTAGAACTAATACTAATGGATAAAATATTTGTTGGAGAAAACAGTACCATAGAAGTCTAATAACTATTCATGTAGAAGATGTTCTGTCAAAACATATGTAGTATGTTACATCATCAATAAAACTTTTCCTTATATTAATAAATCATTGTTTGCCTATCTATTTTTATATTATCATAATGTGCTTCCTTACATAAGTATTCACGCAGAATCATTTATTCACAAGAAACTGTTGAATACATATTTAATGAAACTTAATTCAGTTAGTCTGCAGTTTTATACTCTTAAGTGTTTTAGAGCACAATACATATATCACTATAGGGTATTCAGCGAGAATAAGATTTACTTTTCGGGTTTAGTGTCACAAAAATATAACTGGGGAACTGTGTAAAATTTTCTCATGGCCAGTTATTGAATAAGACTAGATGCATATACTTAAGCTTTTGTTGACATACTGATAAATTTCATACACACAGTCTTACATATTGTAACATTCACATTCATAAAGAATTTCAACTTTAAAATAGATAGTTATAACATTTACTAGTCTTCTTTGAAACATATTGTAATACTTATTTATGTAGTAATAATTTGCATTTTGTTGTTGTAGATACTATGTATTCTTGATTTTTGTTTTCAAACTTTCTTGTAATTGTTATTTTAGAAAGAAAAAAGATCCCATGACACCAAATTCTTTGGCTCAGGAGATAGCAGACTTAAAATTCAGTATGTCGGACCTTGAGCAGAAGGTAAGTGTAACTTTAGAAAAGTAGCCAAAAAGATGTTTCTAACTTGTATGTCACCCCCCCCCCCCAAAAAAAAATGTTTTAGCTTTCAGTGAAAACTGTGGAAGGGGCATAGAAATGTGTATATGTTTTCATAAATATTCATTATGCAAGTTTTAGCAATCTTCATGCCTGTTGATGAACTATTATATCTAATTATTTAAGATTGAATACTGCTGTTTTCAGTGTCAGAGGCAACTTTTTGGTAATTAAATATGGCTAGGTGTTTTTTTATAAGGCTTTTAGTATAGATGATGAACTGTACATCTTTTTGTTTTGCCTTCTCCAAACTGTAGAATATTCTCTGCTTTTTTACTGAAAATATATAAAAGCAATTGAACATAGAAAAAATTTACATATTTAAGCCTTTAATTTAAAATTTTTACATAATGTGATAGAATTCTTTGAATGTTTTAGTTGGCCTTAAAAAACAGGTGTATGGAAGTCTGAATCTCTGGCTGGTAATGGTCAAATGCTTATTGTAATGGGCCAAGTGAGAAGCTTTGACAGCAATTCACTTGAAAATTTAACTTACAAAACTGTTCGTGATTGACAGATCTTTTCTGGAGATGCCAGAAGAAAGCATATTATTTTTAGCATGTAGTTGTTGCAACTTGGAAGGAGTATAGTTAAGGTTAATGTGAAATTGTGTTACATTTTTTGTGTTAAAGAAAAGGAAAATTGTATGATGTAGAATAATAGGAGAACTAAACATGGTATGGTATCATGTTGGAGGAAATTTAGTGTGTAAAGACCACAACCATTTTTGTGAAGTATTTGAAAAATAGACAGAATGTGTATATATTAAAAGACAAGCCATCAGAAAGTAAATAAAGTGATGTATAAGTTATTCGTGCTCACAAAATGTAAAACAGCTATAATATAAATAGTGTAGAAGGTATATTATGTATATATACACCTGGAAAAAAGTTAAGCACCCCCAAATATTTTTCAGGATTGCTTATTGAAAATAAGGTTTAATTTTCATGATGTTGAGCAATGTTCATAG